CCTTTATCCTGTTTGAGTGTAACAGCTGGCCAGGTGACAGGACAGTTGGAGAGGTTAAATCAATCAAAGGTGGCTGGTCCAGATGGCATTAGCCCCAGGTCGCTGAAGGTGTGTGCCAGACAGCTAGCCTCTGTTCTCCAATACCTCTACAACCTGAGCCTTAGTCTGGAGAAGGTGCCACTTCTCTGGAAGATTTCTTGTTTGGTTCCGGTACCCAAGAAACCAGTACCATCGGGCTTTGGGGACTATCATCCAATTGCTCTTTACAACTCTGTCAGAGCAAGGGAATTAAAGGCAGCACAGGGGTACGATGGCCAGATAGAATGGTCCCCAGTCTGCGCTGTATTTGAATAGACAGCCTAAGATGCATGAAAACAGACAGGCAGTGAGGAGAAGCTCTCTGGCACCGCAGGATCAGAGGAGGAGGACACTTCTACAGACTTCTAGTGAAGCAGATAGGGCCCCAGTAGACATCTTCAGTATGGACTTTAGGAAAATACTCATTTTGGCCTCCTCAGGGCCAAAGTGTGTGGCAATAATGGGATCAAAGCCATGACCCTCCCCAAACACCCTACTACTACTGGATATTCTATTAGTTTCCTCTGCAGTAAAAAGACGTCTGTGCTCAGCTGCTTTTCTCACTCAGAATCACATTTGTTTTACTTTTATGTACCTTTAACAGTGACTAATCTAATTATTTTTATTTTCTAGAAAAAGATTTCATTAACATTTGAGCAGAGTGCAGTGCTGCATACGACTATTATAAAACCTTCTAGTATATAAAGCTATGTACTGTGGATGGATAGCTTCTAATCGTATTTAATGTTCCATATGCATGCATATTGTAAGCTATTAACATATGCACAAAAAAGTGAGCCCCATAATTGTTCCTTTTTACCATTTAATCCCAGCACTGGAAGATACAGCAGAGATCACATTAACATTTACATTTCTGAATCCCCCACCTCCTTGATATAGCTCCAGCTTTCAGCCCCAGCATTTCATCTGCCTTTACATAATATCAGGCTGTATTAATGCTGCATATGGAGCTCCTCTGTCTGTGCTGTGTAGATTTACATTTTCCTAATGATGTGCTTTCATTTTTTCCCCCACTACCCTCCTGTCCTTCCCTTCACCTCCAGCCCACAGCCTACGGTGATTTAAAACACATACAACTCTACTGCTGTTTTACTGCAGCAGAATAACACAAAGCATGGGTTGACACACCTTTGGTTGCCCTGGCCCCATCTGTTGCACATCTGGAAGTGGTACACCACACCAGTAATTGGAAGTCAATTTGTTTGAAGTTATGTATTTGGCATCTGGTTTGATTCATAAAAACTCAGGAAATCACATTATGGATGGTGATGGGGGCACAGTGAGAGCCACTTTTTTTTATTTCTTCAGTGCCTTTAACACCATCCAGCCTCCACTATTGGGAGAGAAGCTGTGGCAGATGGGTGTGGGGGGGGCGACTGTTTCTTGGGTCACTGACTACCTAACAGACAGGCCGCAGCTTGTACGGTTGGGTCGAGGTC